AAACCTCGGCGGACTCAACCAACGAGAGGGCGGCGGCGAGGCGACCAAGAGGCTGCCGCAGGCGGCTATCGGGTCGGGCGAAAGAGGGGGATAGCAAAGGGGGGGGGTGAGAACCAGCTCGCGTAGCTGCTTTTCCCGGCGCCTCCCGGCGCCGGAGGCGCCCATGTATCGAGGCATGGGCCCATCGGTGAGGCCGAAACCAGCTGCAGGCAGCAAATTTCGTAACCCCCCCTTCCACAATCCCCCCCTTTCGCCCGGCCCGAGTGCGGGCAGTACTTATATCCATATCCAGAGCGTCGTGGACTTTTTGGGAAGAGGTGCCGCAACGCCGAGGCGCACTGGATATGGATAAAATCAAGCCTCTTGGGGCCAGATTTTTATCCATATCCAGTGCGTCTACGGTTTCTGGGGAAGAGAGCCCAAGAATCCAAGACGCACTGGATGTGGATATAATTATTGCCCGCACCGAGGCTACGCGGCGAAACCTGGGCGGACTCCACCAATCAGTGGGCGGCAGTGGGGCGGCCGGCAGGCGGCCGCAGCCGGCGGCGCGGCGAAACCTCGGCGGACCCCCCCAAAGTGGGCGGCAGCGCGGCGGCCACGAGGCGGCCACGGGCGGCGACGCGGCGACACCTCGGCGGACTCCTCGGAGTCCTGGGAGAGAAGAAAGGCCCGTGAGTGCGAGCCCTGCGTGGAGAAATGGGTACACACATGAGAGAGACACGCACGCACACATCCCGAGAAAGAGACAACGAACCGAAAAAAGACACGTCGTACTCAACTCGATTCCCTACCATTTTCCCTCCCTGATGGGGGGGGGGTGTACGGGGGAGGTTGAGGGGTGCCTAGGGGGGGTCTCGGGTAGGATTACAGCGGCCCCGGGGGTCTCGGTCCCTGCTTGGGCTGGGAGGCCAGGGGGGGCGGTTTCACCCTGTGAGAGGGGGGGTCCTGGAGGGGATCTCCGGGGGGGTTCCGCCTGTGGTGGGGGAGGGCGGTCCCCGGGGAGAATGCCCCCCATCCCCCGAGGTGTCCCGGCGGGTCCCGGGAGGGGGCGCCAGCGAGGGTCTCGGGGGAGGTCCCGCCTTCAGAATCGGCGGCACCGGCCGCAAGGCCATCACAACAGATACACACATGAGAGAAGCACACACGCGCAAAAAACAAGTCAAACCAGAACAACAGTTCCTGCGTCGGCTGCTGATTCGAAAACCCACCAGAGCCCATCACTCCTAACCGCGTCTGGGGGGACGATGGTGCACCACCCGCATAAGGGGCAAACCGATCGGTAGCAACGTGAAATGGTGGTGGTGATGATGCTGATGCTGCTGATGATGATGATGACGATAATGATGACGATGTGTGCGGTCTTTCTCTTCGCTTGGGTGAACGAGGCGCTCCACCAACTGTAAAAGCGGCCCCTCCTGGATACCAGCCGCTACCGCGACGCAGCACCGAGAAGACAATCCTGTATATGTCTAGCGTCGGAAGCCATGCGGAGATCTGGGAAATTGCAACATCCAAAGGCAGCAATGCAACGACAAAATCGTGGCACAAGGCCTAGCCAAACAATGTTGTCAGGCTTCGTGGTGCTTCCGTGCTCCCTCGTTCTGTCCTCGTTCTCCCTTCGCTGCGAAACAACAATTCAAACGAAAACAGTCAACGGAATGCAAAAAACAACGCTTAACTCGAGCCCTGTCGTGGCCATGGACACCCGCGCAAAAGGAAAACTCGGCATGCCTTCGATGCCGCCGACGTCGGGCAGAGCTGCCCCGCGCGCACCCGAGGTCGGGGCGTGGCCCTCCAGGGGTGACTGCTCGGAACTGATCCGAGACAGGAGGAAAAAACGACGCGGCCTTGCGTGTGGTTTCGTGCTGGGCTTGCCAACTGGAAAACCATTCCAAACCTCGAGCGATCGTCAACTCTAGTCGGCAAGGTCGACAGTCGCACGCACCGTTCCGAGACAGGAGGAGGTGGAGGAGGAGAGAGCAGGATTACAGAGGCGGCAGGAGCGCTGGCCACAGATTTGTACGTAATCCCACGGTGAGGACTTTTTCAGCAACTGCCGCACTGCCCCTCGGCGGGGGCCTTGACCTGTTGGAGGTCGGGGAGGGGTGCTGTAGAATGGAATGACGTGCCAAGGCTGGTATCTACGATGACAACAAATGCATCGCATCCAGGTTTCAACAACGTTGGCTTTGCGCCGGCCGCTTCGAATCAAGCCAGAACACATCATTATAACTCCCCAAGCGACCATCATCCACTGTGAACGGCGACAAAAATGGTCATTACATGGCACCCAATCAACAAGCACGAATTGTTTTTTGTGATTCCAGAATTTCCGGAACGTCGTTTCGGAATTCCCAGAATTCTGCTTCGCATTGAAAAATACTTGATATTAGTCGTGAAATTTCCAGAGCTACGTTTTTGGAGATGCGAAAATCCTGGAATCACGCTATTCGCGATCCGGAATTGCCGAAGTCGCGTGCTTGGTGATCGGGCGTCTTGGAAGAGGTGTTTGTGCTGCTGTTCACATAGACATACGTTCGTTCGGGGAAGTTATAATCAAGAAATCTGACGTGGTTTGAGGCGGTCGGCGCAAAACCAACGCTTTCGAAATCGAGATGCAACGCACTTGCGGCTATCGTAGATAACATCGCCTTTCTCAGCATTGGCACCACACCCCTTTATACCACGTTCATTGCCACCCTCCACAATTATAGATCTGGACAGTGGTACCAAAACGACGGGCTGCCTCCACCAAGGTGAAATCATCCTAGATGATGGTGCCGGTGGTAATCATTCGGCCACCTGAGAGGGCCGAACATTACCACTTTCACCGAAATCAGGCTCATTCTCCCTCGGTGGAGGCAACCACCGACATTGGTGTCGGTGCCAACCTCCATTGGGGAACAAAAAGTGGCATAAGCATCAAAACTCGGAGGTCCGCGCGGATTTCCCAGATCGGCGCTGGACCCCCCTCCCTGGCGCGCGGAGCGCGCCAGGGGCGGCGCCGTAGGCGCCGCCGGAGGGCCCCAGCGCCGATCCGAGAAATCCGCGCGGACCTCCGAATTCTTTGTGTTGATGTCTCTTTTCGTTCCCCTGCTCCAGACCGCCGGCAGAAGCAACGGCCTCGCGGATCGCCACTCCTCCCTTGCCGAAGGCCACCCGTTCACGCGCCCTCCGCCGGCACGACCCCGGCCTCCCGGAGCAGGACGCGGCCGTACCTGCTCCCCCACAGCGTGGGAGCGGCACGCCTCAGCATGCCCAGAATGTCCTCATGTCGGCGGTGGACCACCCTCCCTTCAGCAAGCCTCCCCTGAATGAACACAGCCTGGGACCGAAACCGACGGACCAGGACCCGCAAGAATGACGGCCGCGACGCCCTCTCGCGAACCGAAAACGGCTAATGCCTTAATCGACGTGCCAGGGTAGGAGGTCTGCCCACCTCCGATCATATAGGGAGAACTTGGCATACACAAGGCACGTTCGGAACTCCGGGCGGCTATCTTTCGAGAGCGGCGCTCCTGCACCGTACCATGCTTGGACTCCCGTCAAGCCTCGCTCCAACGCGGCACCGTGCACAGTTGTTCGGCGCACCGTGGCACTCCCGAGTCGAGGATCGACGACGACTCGGGAGACCCCAACGCGGAACGGTGCACATAGGTCGTCAGCGAAGAGCAAAAAGCATGAACTTTAAATCTTTGGGGCGGCTAAGATCGGCGCAGCCCCCCCTCCTTCCCTGGCGCGCAGAACGCGCCAACGGCGGCGCCGGAGGCGCCGCCACAGAGGCCCAGCGCCGATTCAAGAAGTCCGCGCGGAACTCCGACACCGCACGGCAGGGTCACGTCGACCCCGTCGACACCGACAAAGATCGTTCAACCTTGAGCGATCGGCCGCTCCCCAAACGCCAGATCATTCAACATCGACCGACACTGTGTCGACGGCGGCGTTCAACGTCGAACGTCGCCAGCGGGGTCGCCGCTAGGCTCATGTCGGGCATGTCTATTACAAATAGTATAAACATACTGTCCCGTTGATTACACAAGCGATCTGCAGCACAAATACTTGGGGAATGCTCCGAAAATATTTCGGACATGCCACGATCCCTGCCGGAGGATTGCCTTGTTTTCGCGATTTCCCCCGTACGTGTTTCGGCGCGCGTGGCAGCGCCTGGCGCCCCTGACGAAGAGATCGCCTTATCAACGCCGAGTAAAACATGGCCGCGTTTACCTCGCTATACAAAAAATCGATGCACATTTAATGATTTCGCGTTACTTCGCGTTCGCGCGAATGCGAACCGACCCTGTTGCGCACTCAGCCGACTCCACGCGGTTCGTTGCCCCTGGGCCCACCTCGAGGACAAGCGACAGACGCAGCATGCGCCCTGAGGCCACGCGAAGGGAAACAACAGAAAACAGCCAATCCAAACGTTCAGACGACCCAAAGACAGACGATGATGGCAACGCGTGCAAATGGCAAACGAGACGCGCCGAAAATTATTATAAAAAAAGGTCCGCCGGGGCTGGCAGAACGCCGAAAGCTCGACCATAAACCGATCGGTCGATCGATCAATCTTCCGATCGACCGATCGACCGCCACCCCCCCCCCGCGCTCTCCTCCCCCCCGTCCCAATGTGCAAACGCTTGTCAATAAAAACGAAGGCGGGCGCGCGGGAAAACTGGATCCAGTAATACTTGAAAGCTGGAAATGGTCGTTTTTTTTGTCCGTCTGGAAGCTGCGCAAAGCGCGCAGGACGCATCGCATGTTTGATTCACGCGCGCGTTGAGAATCACCATCGGGATCGGGCACGCAGAATGAGGCCGCGATGTTGCTGCGGCGCGGAACGACGCGCGCTCGGCAACGTAGCGGCACGCTGTTCAGCCCACGAGGGCACCGCATTAGCAGCGCGAGCCGCGCGTTTGGCAACCCTGACGCCGGGCACCTGAACCGCCAGCGAGCCCGCTACATCACGTGCCGCAGCGGCGCGATTTCGGGCGAAAGGG